AGGGGGAGGACAGGGGGAGTGACAGCCACCACTCCTTCGTTACTTAATGAAGCAATTCGAGGAGGGGCTGCTAATTAAATCAGGTGATTGATGACATTGCTGCCGAGACCCCTCGGAGGCCTGGTGACACCCAAGGGCTGTGCTGAAATGCAGTGAGGGGGGGGGTCTGGCCTTTGTGGTCACGGCCTGGGGAAAGTGAGTCACAGCTGACGGCTTAACTGAGAGGCTTAATTAAAGAATTAATTAGGAACCAAGAGCCCACCACATGGGGTGCTTCGAAGTGATGGAGAGGGGGTTTGGAAGGATGCACAAAGGAGCAGGGGGGGCTGTGGGATTTCCTCTACCTGCTTGTTCTGGAGGGGGGGGTCCCTAGAAGCTCATGCCCCCCCCGGGGCTGCAGCACCCCAACAGAGCAGCCCATCCAGCCCCAATTTGGTCTCAGTGTGGAGGCAGGTTTGGGGGGTCTCCGATGTCCCCAGCCCTTGGGGACAACCCACAGCAGGGGGTGGTGGCACAGAGACATGGAGGGGGGAGGATTTTTTTCTCACCTGCTTGGGCTTCTGCTGCTGGGGGCTTCCCGGCTGCTCGCTGGAGCTGTGGGGCACAGAAAGCAAAGGGCTAAGGGCTTTCAGCCCTCCACAGCTCCCGGAGGGGGGGATGAGACCCTCTGACCAAGCCCCACTCCAGTTTTTGGGGTGGGGAGCAAAGATCAGCCTTCTGTTTGGCTCCAGAAGCAACTTCCCGTGACTCGACTGGGTCAAGCTCAGCTGACAGCATCCCACCGAGCAGGGAGCACAGGACGGGTTCTGCCTTGCCCAAGGGTGGCAGCAATGAGGTTAATTTGGGGACCCCCCCCTCTTAACGAACACTTTTCCTCTCTAAACCAATGAGCATCATCACACTGACCCACAGAGGGAAAAAACAAACAAACAAACAAAACAATAAACCAAATAAAACAGCTCATTAAATTGCATTTAAACTGAAAATAGGGGAAAAAGGCACTGGAGGAGCTGGGAGCCCCGGTGGGGATGCCCAGCACATCGCCCACCCCGCGGGTCGCATCCTGCCCGCCAGCACTCACCTGTCGGCAGCCCAGACCTCGCGCAGGATCTCCGTCTGCAGCGGCATGGCTCCGGGCTGCTCCCTCTGCCCTGCCCCGACCTCCTTCCCTCCTCCCCAACACCGGCCACTGACCCCCCAGCACTGGAGCCCCTACCAGCCCCGACCCATGGGTTCAAGTCCGAGCAGCCTCACGGCATCAGCTCGGCTGCTTCTGCAAGTCCCTGTGGCTGGCGGAGGAGGAGGAGGAAGAGGAAGAGCAGGCAAAGGAGACGATTAACTTTTTATTTCTCTTGACATTCCGTAATAGGATTTCAGGGGCTGCTGGCCAGGCCCGCCAGGAGAGCAGCTGGCAGGGTGGTAATCCCAGGGAAAGGGGGCCCCGTGGGAGCGCAGGGGGGCACAGGGGGTTAATCGGACCCTGCGCACCTTTTGGGGTTACCTGGCTCTCCCCATGCTGGGTGGGGTCCCCAGCACAGCGGGGCCACTCGCCTGGTGTGGGCAGAGGGACGCTGCCTGACCTTGTTCAGGGTTACCATCCCTGGATGTGCCTTTTTCCACCCAAAAATGTCACCTCGGTGATAGGAAAGCAGGATTTGGGCTGTTTCACAGGAGCAGGGGAAGGCAGCACCCGCATCCCCGGGTGATGCTCAGGGCTTCCCTACAGACCACTGCTCCGCTCCGGCCCCCCATCCCCAGGTCCCTTCGGGTGACGGGTTTCACACCCTGCACATGGCTGCTCCCACCTCGCCTCCTTGTTAACAGCATTTAATATTCAGCCGTTAATATTCCCCTCCAAAGGCTGCCCACAGATGCTCTCCAGTAGCAAAGCCGGCCAAGCCCAGTGCCCCCACCAGACCCTCGGCCTTGCCCAGCCCACCACAGACACCCCAAAACCCCCTTGGCCGCCCCATTCCCCACCCCATACCCGGTGCCACTAGATGGCATTTGAACACCGCACACCCGGGACCCACCAGCACCGCCAAGGTTTCCACGCCTTCGGGACAAAATCCTCCCGGTTTCCCTTTAATCTCTAAACCTCATCTCATCACCTGCCCGCGTTTAATTTTGCTTCCAAGAGGGTGAAAAGCACCAAGCCAAAATAAGACAAAAAAAATCTGCTTCAAACCAGGAGAAAAGCCCAGAAATGGTAAAGCAAGTTGAATTTTTATTTTTTTTTCTGTAGAGGGTTGTTTCCTATGGAAAATATGGCTTGGGCTGCCTGCAAATAACTTTTTTGCCCTGTCTGCAAGAAAAAATAAACCCACGATTTTTTGCAGAGCCCCGGGGTCTCGCAGCACAGGGTGCTTTGGTGGCTACGAGACACCCCGGGGGTGGTGTAAAACCGGAGACCTGGCTGAGCAGCCGGAGCAGGCACATGGCTGCTATGCTGGGAGTATCTACAGCAGGTGGGAAAAGAGGCTTGAGAAATGCTGCTCAGTCCACCTGATGGAGTGGGGTGGGAGGAGAAATTTGAACCAAATGTGGTTTGTCCTCCCAAGATTGAGGTGAGAGAGGGACAGGCAGACCTGCAGGCCCCACTGGCACGGCTCTCTGCTCCTCTACACCCTCAGCCAAGGGGCACAAACGCCTCCCCCACCCACCCGGGTGTCCCAGGGAGCCCCCTCCCAAATGTACACGCTGGCAAAAAAAAAAAAAAAAAGGCATCAGGATAACCCCCCCCCAGGCTGGAAAAACAGCTGAGATCCTCAAGCAGCATCCCCCAACCAGGCATCTCCGAAGTGCCGGCCCTTCCCCGGCTCCCCAGGAACGACAGTGCTGATAAAACCGGGCAGCATCAGCCCTTGGGGACACCAATAACTCCTTCAAAGTCCCCTCGCTGGAGCTGGGGCTTCTCCCCACGGGAGAGATCACACCCGTCCTCCCCCCAGCCGCCCCCTTTGCTGAGCAGGAGCTGGAGAAAAAGCACTTTTTTTCTTTTTTTTTTTTTCTATCAGTTGTTTATTTTCAAGCTCCAAAAGGGGTATTACAAAGGACAGGAAAAATAACAACCGGAAAGCTGTTCTCACACGGTAGTGACGGTGTCCCTTTAGGATGGAGGGGGGACGGTGGCCGAGGTGGCAGCAGCAGCGGTGTGGGGACACGATGCCGGTCCCCCCTCGCCACAGCAGTGGGAAAGCTGCTCGCTGATGAGCTGTAACCCCACGGTACCAGCTCAGAGCCAGTCACTTGCTTTCTGAACCACAACATGTCAGCCTGCTCTTTTTTTCCCCCCAGTATGGACCCCAAATAAGCAATAAAACTCCCATTTAAAGATGGGAGCCAAGGGGTGGGGTGCAGGCTGCGGAGTGAGCGCCTGCGAGTAGCGGAGCTGGACAGGAGGCTTCAGCTCTCCAAGGAAACAGAAACCAGCTTCTTCAAAAAGATAAAATCCACCCCCTGCAGTAGTGTTTTGGAGGCAAACCACCTCCCTGCACCGAGGGGACGTGAATCCTCGCCCTCACGCCCGGCTCTGCATCACAACCCCTTAGACCACAGGCAAGAAGCCACCAGGAGAGAAAAGCAATTTTCCCCCTGACGCCCAGTGGGTGAGTGAGGGGTGGGGGGTGTGCTCTGGGGCCCTGGGCTCCAACAGCCCCCCCGTGCCCATGCCCGTGGTACCGGATACAACCGGAGGCAGAACTGCAGCGTACGAGGAGCATCTCCCACATCCCAACTCATCTTGGAGGAGCCGGGATGCTGCGCCGACAGCCAACACGAAGCCAAGGGTGCCAGGACGAGCTGTCTACGGAAACCTCCCAAGAGCCATGAGTTTCAATTTTTATTTATTTTTTTTTTCTCTTTCTCTCCGTTTAAAAGCTATTTGTTCCACGTGCGGTGGTCCCACGGCGTCCCGCCGCTCCCGCTCTGCCCCTGGGTGTGCCCAGGGCAGTGGGACGGGGTTCGTTTTTCTTTGCGAGGCGCTTTTTGCTTCCACGATCACACAAACTGTAACAAGCTTTACAAGAAAACACTGGCGAGTCCCGAGGTCTGGCAACAACCTTATTCTCGGGCCGAGGGCAGGAGGCTTTCCCTTCCCCTCCTCCTCCTCCATCATACGTGTCCTTCAGCCTCTTCACCTTCAGCACCGGGAGCTTTCGGTCCCTTTTCACAAGCTGCTTTCTCAGCTGATTTTTCGACCCCAGTTTTGCTAGCTGCTTCCTGCAAAACAGCAAATAAAAGCACACGGAGTTGGAAACCGAAGGAAGTAGCAGGTAGGTGACGGCGACGCTGGGGATGGGTACAGGCAGCCAAGCCTGACAGGGCAGGCAAAATTCCCCCCCCTTGGCTCCCCACTGCCTATAACGACCGCAGCTCACACCAGAGGCTCGTTTTCTTGGCTCAGCAGCCGGTGGAGGTTAAACCGCCACGGCTCAGTGAGCTGCTGGGGAAACATGGGATCCCCTTGGAATGATGTGACTGGCCTCGACAGGAGCAGGGCACTGCCACAGAGCCAGCCTGGACTGGAGGCAGGGGCACAGAGGGACAAGGAGTCCCCTGTGCTCTGCACTGGTGAGGCCACACCTGGAGCGTTGTGTCCAGTTTTGGGCACCTCAACATGAGAGAGATCTGGAGGGGCTGGAGCGAGGGCAGAGGAGGGCAACGAGGCTGGGGAAGGGCCTGGAGAATAAATCCTGTGAGGAGCCAGGGAAGGAGCTGGGAGTGCTCAGTGTGAGGAGGAGGAGGCTGAGGGGAGCCCTCATCCCTCTCTGCAGCTCCTGACAGGACATTGCAGAGAGGCTGGGGCTGGGCTCTGCTCCCAGGGGACCGGGGTAGGGTTAGGGTTAGGGAGGGAACAGCTCTAAACCGCAACAGGGGAGGGTCAGAGTGGTCAGAGAGTGGAACAGGCTGCCCAGGGAGGGGGGAGTCCCCATCCCTGGGGGTGTTTAAGGGCTGTTTGGATGAGCTGTGGGGGGATGTGGGGTAGGGGAGAACTTTGTAGAGTCAGGCTGAGGGTTGGACTCGATGATCCCGAGGGGCTTTTCCAACCTGAGTGACTCTGTGATGCTGTGAAGGAGACAGCGAGACATGGGTGCAGCCCCTACACGCTGGGGCATGGTAAAGCCTCGCGCCTGCTCCAGCATCAACTCCCCATCGGAGCCGGCGGCACCAGCCAAGGCACCGTGGGGGCAGCAGCCAGCCGAGGCTGCTTCACCCCCCTACCCGAGCCCCTCACCCTGGCACGCTGCTCCCCAGGCTCTGCACCGGTCCGAGTCCGCAGCCTCAACCTCCAGGCAGCAGTTCAGAAGAGATTATACTATAAATGACCCGTGCAGAGGCCTTGCAAAGCTCTGTCCTCTCTCGTTACAGTACACCGGGTTTTGTTCAGAGGAATTTTGGACGGGAGCCTGTCAGGAGACAGCGATCTCTGCGTACGAGCAGAGGAGCGAGCGATTGCCTTACCGGCCTCAGGAAATCCATACTATCATGTCTCAAAATACCCTTGGCCCTGCCAGAGACAGGCTGACATTTCATTTTACCAGCGACCAGGAGGTCATCAATAGTCACCAGCTGGGAACAGCGAAATTTAAGTACAAACGCCAGCCCTGTTATCAGCCCTCGGGAGCTCAAACTGCAATCACTTTTATTGATCACTGAGCACCTGACCGCAGCCTCTGTGTAAGAGAGACCAAGAGATAAACCACTCCTCACTGCAGCAGGCTCTATCCCTCCATCCTCAACCAGATCTAGAATTTAATTGGTTTTAACCCATCTCTTCTCATCACAAACCTGCCAAGCATCCTTCAGCACAGCCTGTTAGGTGGCCAGAAACAGGCAACACGCACCTTTGCATCCCTCTCCGCAAACTTTGTGAACATGTTGGCGTAGATCCTCCGGTCCCGCTCGTTGTGCTCCTTTGTCTTCTTCTGGCAGACAGAGATCTGGGATTTGGCTGCTTTGTTCTGTGGATTTACTTCCAGCACTTTTTGAAAGTCACATTTTGCCAGCTCGAACTCATTCATCAATAACCTGGCTTCGCCCCGCCGGTACAAGCCCTTCTCGTTGTCCTGGTCCAGTCCTAGTGCCTGGAAACACAGGGGTCCCCTGTTAGCAACCTGGGGCTCCCCCAAGAGATCCCCCTATGGTCAAAGCCTCATTAAATCTGCTGAAATTAGGACAAGGTGGCTTCAAGTCTCCAGAGCACATGCATCTTGCTCAACAAACACTGACTTGTCTACGTCAGCAGTTGGCAGGTCAAAAAGTTTAGTTATTTCTCCTTGCTTAAAATCCCCCTGAGAGTGGCAGAGTCGGTGGGAGACAAACCCACAGACAAGAAATCAGGTGTAAAGGCTAAACTTGAGCCCAGAGGAGCATGGGGAGCTTGGAGGCAAGGGAGTTGATGGATTAAGCATGGTTTTGTCTGCCTGCTTTAGCAACAACATTATTTCCCTTTAGTAAAAACCACTTGTGCATCTCAGAGATCATTTACCTTTTAGATTAAGGCAACCAGCTTTACTATTTTTTCCATGTGCAAAATGCTTAAATTTAAACTTTTATAAAAGAATTAATAGTTTCCCAACTAAGACAAGGTGGCAACTCTTTTAGGGACTTGCAAAGCCCCATCCCACTCACTCCTCAGGGGGCTTGGAGATCAGCTGCAGCTCCGGCTGCCTCTGTCGTACCCAGAACAGCAACCAGTGCCCAGACCCAGCCTGAGCAGACCCGAACAGTGTCCTAAGGCTGTTGGTCCGTTCACATGGATCTAGCTTTGGAAGAAAAGCTGTTTTAAGTGAACACTCAGGTGGATTTTGAACTCCAAAAAGCACTTTTGCTCCTGCAGTCTCTGAGCATGCAGCATCCGCAGGGGCCTCGAGGTGCAGAAGGGATGCCAGCATCCCACTGCCGCTTGGAAATTGCTTCTTATAGGAAAAGAAATTCAAAAACCCCAAAATTCCCAGTGAAAACGTGCAAGAGGAGAGGATGCTCCAACCCCCAGACTCGGGCACCTCTACCTTATCGCAGCACTCGACAGCTTTGGCGTACTCTCGCAGCTTCAGGTAGCACATGGCCAAGTTGAGGAAGGCAGCCAGGAGGAAGGAGTCGGAGGCTTTTGACTCTTTCTCAGATAAGCCATACTCCATTTCCAGCCAGGACACGATCTTCCCGTACTGAATCACTGCCTGCAGGTATTTGCCTTCCTGGGATGGAGCAAAGAAGAAGAGGCTAGAGGAACCCGCGCCGACAACGCTCAGTCTGCTCCCGAAACATCCTGCAAACAGGTTACGAGTTTAACGCAGTGTGTGAAAAAAATACAAATGACTGAAGGAGGATGCTGAATACCTACAAACGGGCTGGGGCTGGGCTGGAGCTGCTGGCGTGCAGCCCCTGTGAAAAGCCAAGTCGGAGTCTGCGTTCCTCCTCTGTGCAGAGCAGAGGAGGGCTGGGATGCCCCAGCCCGGGAAGGGGAACTGCAAAGCCCCTTGGCATTAGCCCTGGCCACAATCCACCCCTGGGAAGAGTCTGATCTGCTGTCCTGCTCCTCAGGGAGCACACGTGGGCAAGAGAACGCTGGGAAAGGAGGAGGTATCTCAGGGAATGAGAAAAAGGCAGAGGAAGGGCAGGACTTGCCTTCCCCAGCACTGCCTGGGGGGACACACAGCTTCTCCTACAGCATCGCTGCCAAGTCCTCTACCTGACCCTCACCCCCAATTTATTTCCAGCTCCCGTGCTGCGCCTCCGTCATCCCCAAGTCTACAAACCTTGAAGTACATCGTGCCCTTCTCCTTGACGATGGCAGCCTGCTCCAGCTTCTCTTTGGTGTCCATCTCCCACGACTCCTTGGCCTGCAAATAAACGCCCAGAGCAATCCCAATGGGGCAGGGCAGCCCCTCTGCACTGGGAGGGCCATGCAGCCTCCTAGGATTGCTCGTTAGCGAGCAGGCTCATCAGGGCAGTATTACAGAGGGATGATCCAGCAGCTTTTTCAATTTGAGGGGCTGGGGACAAGACACGCAGAGCACAGGTCAGGGTCTGAACCTGGAGCCCTTCATAACAGGGCTCAGTACTTCACCCTGGGCAAAGTGGTTTGGCCACTGCAACCCCACAGGAGGAAAAGCCCTGACAAAAAATAAACGCCAAAAAGGGAAGAGGAGCGTGGGGAGAAATGTCCCCCAGCAGAGAGGAGATGCAGTGGGTCTTAGGTCAGGGTGATGGGGAGGTCTTAGGTCAGGGAGGGGACCCAGCTGGGGATGAGGTGCAGCAGCACCTGCCCCATCCCATGGGCATCTCCTGCATCCCATCATCAGCCTCCCACGGGCACAGCAGTTCGGCACGCCAGCCGAGCTCCCTGGGGCAGCTGGCTGGACACACTGACTTTCATCTGTGCAGCCTGGGGGAAAAACAAGGGGGAGAAAAACAAACGGGGGGAGAAAAATGGGGGGAGAAAAACAGGGGCAAAAAGGGGAAAAAAAAAAGGGGGGGGAAAAGGAGGGGAAAAAAGGGGAAAAAAAAGGGGGGAGGAAAGGAAAAAAAAAACAGGAAAAAAAAAAAAAGGAAGTACAAAAGAAACAAGGCCACGAACAAATAAGAGAACCAGCCTTGGACGCCAGCCAGAAAAATAAAACAAACCAAGAGAGAAGAACAAATGAAGAACACCGAGATCCTTGGTGACGTATCGGCTTCAGCAGGGGCCGGGCTGCAGCCACGCCGAGGCCAAGGGGTGGGCGCTGTCAGGGCCCGGCGCTCCGCAGCCGAGGGGGGCCCAGCACGCTCCTGCCCTCACCTTTTCAAAACTTTTCAGCGTCACCTCGTAGACCAGCTCCGCGTTGGCCTGGATTCCGTATTTGGGCTTCCCCGCCTCGCCAAAGCCGTACCTGTGAGGGCAGAAAGGAGCTGTCAGAGGAGGGAGGAAGGAAAAAAAAAAAAAATCTTCATTTTGGGAGCATTTGGTCATAAACACAGACCCGGGTTACTAATTCTGGTTTCATGCCCAGCCCCACGCCTGCAGTTTGCTAACATTTTGGGGCCAGGGTGATGTTATCCTCCACAAGCAAAGATATCTGACAATACACAGTGTGTTAGATATTGGGAATCATCCTCTCTGGGTACATCAAATCTGTCTTTTTATACAGGTTTCTCTCCAGCATAAGGAGACATTTCCAGGGAGACATTTTTCTCTCAGCCACAGGACTTGGATAAACCCCTTTTACGTGATTTTTTTACAGCAGCTCCAGATTCCTGCCTACATGCCACCCATCACCCCTGCTGGCACTGCTAAGTTGAGGCTCTCCCGATTAGTCCTAATTTTGGGATCACCATCTTCACAGAAACTCAGAATCATCCAGGTTGGAAAAGCCCTTGAAGCTCCTCCAGTCCAACCATGACCCTCACCCTGACCGTTCCCAACTCCCCCAGATCCCTCAGCGCTGGCTCAGCCCGACTCTTCAACCCCCCCAGGGATCCCGGGGACTCCCCCCTGCCCTGGGCAGCCCATTCCAACGCCCAACAGCCCCTTCTGCACAGAAATCCTTCCTCAGAGCCAGCCTGACCCTGCCCTGGGCAGCTTGAGGCCATTCCCTCGGGGCCTGGCGCTGGGGCCTTGGCTCCAGAGACTCATCCCCCCTCTCTGCCCCCTCCTGGCAGGGAGTTGCAGAGGGCCAGGAGGTCTCCCCTCAGCCTCCTCTTCTCCAGACTGAACCCCCCCAGTTCCCCCAGCCGCTCCCCAGCAGACCTGTGCTCCAGACCCTGCCCCAGCTCCGTTGCCCTTCTCTGGCCACGCTCGAGTCACTCAATGGCCTTTTTGGGGTGAGGGGCCCAAAGCTGAACCCACTCATCGAGGGGCGGCCTCCCCAGTGCCGAGCCCAGGGCTCAGATCCCTTCCCTGTCCCTGCTGGCCACGCCAGTGCTGACACAAGCCAGGATGCCATTGGCCTTCTGGGCCCCCTGGGCACACTGCTGGCTCACGAGTGCTGAAACGACCTGGGAAGCTGAGAGCTTAAAACTAAACAGTATCCCCATGGGGACGCTCCTTACCGTGGCCCGAGGTAGAGGATGCAGTGCTCTCCCCTCTGCATCTTCTCCAGGGCTTTGTCGATGCCGATGGGGATGTCGTGGTCCTCCCCTTCGCCCACGACGAACTTCACATCTTTGCAGTCGAACCTGGTGCCGCCACAGAAACCCTCCAGGTGAACTGCAGCAGGACAAGAAGGGACGGGGCAGGATGGCACCCAGAGCCTCTCAAACCAAGGCAAGGGGGGCTCCAAAAAAGCATCTTATAAAGTATGTTATGAAGCGCATCTCCCAAAAAGTCAGCAAAGCCTCCAGCCTTGAAGGGGGGAGACACGGGGCTGGGGGCAGCGGAGGAGCCCCTGGTGAGCAGTGGGGATGGGGAGGGCTTGGGAACATTGCTGAAAAGCAAGGCAGGCCTATCTTGTCTAACCAAGGACCAGACAACAGATAAACATCATGACTAATATGTTCCCCTCGTACTCAACTGCACGAGTCAAGTCTTACTGGAACTGGATATTGCTCCTGGCACAGCGCCATGCAGAGTTTATCACGGCGATTACAAATCTTCTATAGAGCGCTATACTGCCTTGCCTTCTACCTCGAAAACAAGGCTATGTTCTCCTGCCTCTAAGAACTCAAAGTACAAGATAAACTCTTTTTTTTTTTTTCCTTTTTTAATCTTCAACCAATAATCGTGCTGTTCCAGCCCCAGACGCTGGCAGAAGCACAGGCGGAGCGGACACTGGGTACCTGGCACATTCACCACCTGGTACTCCTGGCTGGGTTTCCACAGCAAGATTATTCGTTATTTATTTGATCCTGAAGACGTTCCAGGCTTTGGGGACAGTTTTATGTTCTTTACACTCTGCTTGCAGGGTACAAGGCATACGCGTGCGGGCAGGTATAAAGTCAAAGCAATTTCATAAGGAACTCCCATGTACCATTAAAAAAAAAAAAGCCAAATCAAACAAAAAAAGGGTTTAAGAGGAAAAATTCATGGTAGGCATTACAACTGTGCTTAAGGACTTTGCAGCCTGAAAGGACACAGAGCAGAAAGGAGATGTCGCCCGTGTGAGCGCTGCTAAAGCAATGAGAGGAGGGATGCTTGGAAAAACAACCCTCGGGGCTGAGGGCTGCTCACAGAGCCCCTCCAGCACCACGCGGAGCCCCAGGATGCGACCCCAGCTACCGTGGGGCACCGAGCAGCTCAGCCCGGGTGGCAGGAGGCGAGGGGAAGCAGACGCCGTGTCGGACACAGCCAAGAGGGTCCGGGCTCCATACAGGAGAGCTGCAGCCTGGGCTGAAGGAAACCTGCCCGTCTCTGCCCCACGGACACCTCCCTGCCCCGGGACCTACAGAAATCCCCCGGGATGAGGCGTGTGGGCTAAGCGAGGCCACAGGCAGACCCCAGTTCCCAGGACAGGTCCAGCCCTCGGGCGTTAAACGCTGCTGTAACAGCCTGAGGGTGCTCTCCCCACTCAGCTCTGCCTCCTTGCCCCCCTCCCACCACCCAACCCACGCTGGGACTCAAGTGCAGCAGCGTGGAGGATGCTCGTGTGCTTCCCAGCACCCCGGGACGCATCCTGCACCCATCACTGGTGCGCAGCGACCACGGGGCTCAGGCTGGCGTGTGCTCACCCAGCTCAGGACGAGGACAAAAGGCAAATCCAGTTCCTCCGGGGCTGACTTCTCCTTTTGCACTACCCAAAACTGAGGTGGCGATTCTTTTAGGCATAAGAAAGTAGAAATTTAAGCCTAAAATACAGATAACCCAGCCCTCTCCCTACATGTTCCCAGTGAGTACAGATCAATAATCCCAGCACTACAGCTCTCCCAGGTCCCCTGTTCCCCAGCGGGACGCAGCAGTGACGGGAAGATCCCGCTTTAAAACAGGATGCACGGGAGGATTCTGCAATCCTTCCCTTCGAGGATAGTTTTGCTCTGTATTAATTGCACATAAAATACACCGGGCAAAGCGGGGGGAAAAAAAATCTCTGCTCGGGTTTCCAGGAGCAGGTCAGCTGGCTGCAGTCGCTCTTGGATTACAGGGAAAAAAAAGCTGCTGAAGGAACATCACTCCGGTTGCAGCTCTGACTTATTGTTCTCTCGGTGCCTGCAGCGATTTTGTTTTTGAAGAGCTGAGAACAGAGTGTACCGAGTGCGGCTGGCACACGAACTTGATGTGCTGACAGCAATTTGTACTCAGATTAAAAATGGAGAAGGAGGAGGGGGTGGGGGGAAAGGTTGTAACAAAAGCTGGAATGCCAGATTTTGACTGCAGCCTGGGTTTTAGGGACCGGAACTGCAAATTAGGGTCTGTAGAACTTCAAAACCTATTAAAATGCTTTCAAAACTCCAGCCTGGAGATGCTTGCTCCTGAAAGTATGGTTTCTTCCAGCCTAATTCCAGCGGCAGTGCTCCCAAAGACACAGCTGAGATAAACCACTGCTGCTCCCCTGGGTCACAGCCTTGCTCCACGGACGGCTGCCATCCCATCGCCCACCATAAATATCGCTGCATTTGTTAAAAAAAAATTAAAAAAAAAAAAAGCCTATTTGCACTCAAACTGCTCACTGCAAAGCTCCCAGGTGCTGCTTCTCCTTGTTCTCTCTCTCTGGGATGTACTCACTGGCCCCTGATGTACAGGGATGTGTAGGTCCAAATGAATGAAGGGCCCCAGGAGCCGAGAGCGGAACGGCTGGCACGCTGCCGGCGGGATCAGCGCAGCATTCCCGGTCTCTGCCCTGCGTGGGACATCCACAGGACAGCCTGGCCGGGCATCCAGCTCCAGGACACAAGCCATCACTCTGCAGGACGCGCTCATTTGAAACGGGTAAAACAGGGATAATAGGCTGTAGGGCATCAGGCGTACGAGGAGCCTCGTTATTTGGCTCCTTACACCCTTTCAGAGAGACGATTCCTGGTTGGTACCACTGTCCCCTGGCTCAGTCCCTGCCTCAGTCCCCTCCCGAGCCATTAAAGCATCGTCACGCTCCAGAAAACCTCAAGCTGCAAAGGGAACAACCACAGAGGGACCAGGGCTCTTCCCATCCTCCGCACTGGGCACAGCACTGCCTGTAAAGCGCTCAGACCTAATCGAAATGAAGAGGAATGCTGGATCTGCGATGATTTCAATTACATTTAGCTTTTCAGTTTAATCTTGGGGGTAGCAGAGCTGGCTTGCAGCTCGGCTCGTGGCTGGTCCCCAGCTAGGATGCTCACTGCGGGAGAGGCAGACAGTCGAATCCGAGTCAAAAAACTCATTTTTCCTTAAAAGAAAGCCTTGATAGAAGAACCAGCCATTTAAAGCGGTGAGTTTTATGAGCTGTCACAGCTCAGATCCAATTTCTCCTTCGCTAAAGGGAGTTAATCTTTGTGTACAGGAGCTTTGAAAGAGAGAAAACAAAGTAAATGCCTCCTGTACGGAGCAAGCTCTGTGTCTGTGGCCGAGCGGTTCTTGGGAAGGAGAAAAAATAAAATGAGTCTGGCTTCTCCTGTCTAGCCCTGCGAAATGTCTGCTCCAGAAACGTGATCTGAACAGGGAGAGACCCAAGCTCCTCAATCCTCCCATGTCAGCTAAGACCACCTCAGCCTCAGCAAACCCCTTGTATTAATTTCCTTTCTCGCTCCCTCCAGCAGCAGCCCTCTGGCTGCAGGGGAAGGAAAAGAAAAGGCTCCATTCTGCAAGAGGTGTGATAAAACCCACCAAAACTATGATCAGCATTGGAACAAGGAGGCCAAAGAAGCTGCTGAGTGCCTGTGTCAGTGCCTGAAACACTCAGCAAGGGATGCCATCAGGGAAAGATGTCCCAGCTACTGATGTTTTTGAGGCAAGGCAGAGCCCAGGTTTTCAGCAGCCGGCGCATCCCAGAGCAGCCCGGACACTGCAACAAATGCCAAAGGGTTGGGGGAGACAGCAGAGCCCCAGAACCCCGAGGGGGTTTTCCTCCTCCGCTTGCTGAGCAGCTCCGGGGCTCACAGGGATGTGTTTGTCAACACGATGAAGAAAACAGAGCGCAGGTTATATTCCAGCCGTCGCTCTCTCATCGCAGCCTGAGATTTTCCAGTCAAACCCTCCCGGCCAGCAGCTCTGGCAGAGCCACCTCCGGGGCTGTGCCAGGGAGAGCCCGGAGCTGCCTCCCCGGGCGGGCAGTGAACCGCTGCTCTCCCAGCCCCTCACCGTCCCCTCCGGCCTCCGGATGGATGGAACTGCACCGCGACACATGGCCACCTTCCATCGATATACGCCCAGCAGCGAGAAGCAAGCGGGGCTGCTCCTCCAGGGCAGGTTCACCCCTCCAGCCCCTCCGTCCCCCAGAGAGACCAGCACTCACTTTCCACCGTGGCACCTTCATTAGGGTTTGAATAACCTTCTCCCTTCCTCTTGATCCTCCGGATTATCCCTCCATCCTCAAACAAGTCCTCGCCTTTGAAGTCAAGCAGCTCGACCTAAAAAATAAAAGTAATAAAGAAAAGGTGGGCAGCTGTCTCTTA